ACAGAAGCGAACCGTGTCACACGCGGGAGAATAGCAATCTATCGACCGCCACTATCCCCGTGGACGAGCTTGAGAGTGAAAGGCAGGCGGCAAAGTTCAAGGTCGAAGACGCGTGTCTTCGATCGAACGAGATGTCCGATCATCGAACAATGGAGGCAAGATTTCAAAAGGAGGATGCCAAGGAGGTCGGTTGCCAGAAGGTCGATAGATGGGAGAGCGAGAAGGAGAGGGCGAGCTCGAGGGAAATGGAGGAGCGCGGGTCTGTGGTGAACGAAGTGTTGGTGAAGAATCTTCAGTTCGAGCAAGATTTGCCCAAGGATTCGGTGGAGCACGTGGTTGTTGTTGTTGGTGGTAATGGTGGTGATGGTGGTGGTGGTGGTAGTGGTGGTGGTGGTGGTTGTAGTGACACGTTTGGAAAGATCATCGAGCATGTCGGTCAGCAGAGAGCGATGGGGTACCACAACGTTTTGTGCGACAATTACGAGAACGTGCAGAACGCGAGGTATAAGGAGAGCAAGGTGTACGTGACGAAAGAGGAGATGGAGCGGCAGAGGCTGATGGAGCTGCTCAGGAAGGGAGATTACGAGTTAGCGAAAGCGGTGAGTGATGACAAAACGACTTTTATTGCCTTCTTCGCTCTTTACTTACGCGGTTAGTTAATGTTTTACGCGTTTAATCGCTCGTTTCCGATCCCCCCTCCGTTTTGTCTCTGAACAATCTGTCACACCTGGTACGCGGCGATAAAGTAAATTGAATCGCGAGTCACGGTCGAGCAATTGAAAGTGAGCTTCATTACGCTTAGTCTTATCGATTCCAACATCTCGATCGTGATTCGAATCCGACCCCAGCGCAGCCAGGATTTTGGCGGATCGACCATGTCATTGGGAATCGTTTCATAAATATCGCGATCGCGTTTCGATAGTGGTAACCAGACCGTTTTAATTCGATCCGAGATAAGCTTCATTGGAGAGATACGGTTGACAGCAAACCAATAATTACATTTGCCGTTCGTTTATATATATATATTGTGCTCCGCGTGTCGAGTCAGTGGTTCTTCCAATAATTACAAGTCGGAATTAACCGAGATACGTTCGATTTCCTCTTTATCTCGATCGCGTATACACCGAATCACCATTACGAGGGGAAAGCCTCTTTCACTCGTTTCCAATGGTGTTTCGTTGCTACGGTATTCCATTTGCCGCTTCCATAATCTCGCCTACACCGGCGATTCCCAACTTCGCAAATTTTCGCCCTCGGCGAATTTCGACCAAGCATGTAAACAGGCCGTGTTATGATCGGCGAACCGCGATGCAGCGAAAATAGAAAATAGTTGCCAGCTTGTTCTCGTGTTCGTTCTACGTCTCTAATTACCTCTAATCCAACGGATAAAATGTTTAGTAGCTATCCGGATTGCCTTTCATCTAACTCGTCGATTCATCTCGAAATGGATTTTACAATGAGTCGATAACGGATCCTTGTAAAATTGTTGTTCTTTTTGCAAAAGAAAGCGATCCGTTCAAAAATTCAGGTGGAAAGAATTTGGCAGAGATACGCGAAATGGTTGGGTGGAAGGGAACGAGAATTAAGAGTAACGGAAATTATCGTCGAGAGGGTAGCTAGTATCGCGTGGAAGTCGCGTTGGCTCGTCGTCGTGGTGCACGATCTCGAGACACGAGACTCCGCGTAAGAAACTGGTGGGGAGGAGAGGGAGAGACTCGCACGATTTATGATCCAACCGAGCTGGGAACCGAGCATTAGGTATGCGGTTCATAGTACGCTTTAACGCGCAAGAAAGATGCAATAAATTGTAGCACGCGTGCTAGTACGCGCGACTCGAGGCTCGCTCTTAACGAGGTTTCGTTTTCGACTTTTTTCCCCTCCCCTCCCCTCTCCTCGTCTTTCGTTTCAAGGACGTTGTAAATTAATTTTCACTGGCGTCCATTCAACAATCGTGTCGCTGTTAATCGATTTTTCGCAGTGCCAATACGAAATTTCACACTGAATTCTTTTAATTGTTCGCCGCGTGTATTCTGCGAGCAGTATATCGATATCCATTAGAAACGTGAAGAAAACGAAGAATCTCGAAGCGAAGGAAGAAAAAAATTGCGTTTCGCGATTTTCGCGGCGCGTTAAGACTGCATCGATGAGCGTTTAACGGATCGGATTAATAAGAGACTTTTTCGAAAAGGTTGGCCACGAGACGACATTAACGATGGTTCCGTGGTGGTGGACTCTATGTATCCAATTCGAGCTCAATTAACTCTCGCGGGCTGTCATCACCAGACGTTCGATAAATTGCTTTCGTATTCTTTTATCGGCCGTTTTTTAAACGGACTCCTCCATTACTGGTTAGCGATTCCGTCGGCCGTGAATTCATCCCATGACATGTTATTCCGATGGGAGTCGCAATTAACGTCGTATTCTTGCATTGTTCGTGAATAATTGATCGATTTACGGACAATGTGTATCGCGATAAATCTGGGAATGCTGGCAGCCCAAGCAAACAGTAATTAAAACCATGTTATGTATTATCGCAACGAGGGGGGAAGAGGGATCGGGGAGAAAAAAAAAAGGAAGAAAAGGATTTTCATGGAACTAATGGCGTGCAGCTTGTTTCGCAACTCTCGTTTATTTCTTCCTTTCTTTTTGTTTTTTTTTATTCTGCTCCAGATGCAAATAGCGGATTATTTGCCCATTGTTACTCTGGACAGGGTATAAGCGATGTAACGAGATGATAATAACGGTAAAAATGACGGTATTATTAAAAACGATTTTATTTATCAATTTATCCGAACCATACGGTTGATCGAATATTTATAAAAACTGTCAAATGCAAATTATTTCTTGTCCTGTCGTTATCGAGATTATTTCTTTTAAATTTCTCAATTATCGAGAAAAAAGAAAGACACGCGATATAAAAAAGAACGGTAATTATACGGCGAGAAGAAATTATAAAATCTAAATGGTAAAACTAAGCATCCCCTCCGTCATTTCCTTTTTTAAATATTTTTTCACAACAATCTTTCCAATCACTTCCCTCCAACTTAATATCGCAAAAAAAAAAAAAAACCTTTGCCAACCTCCATCACCGTACCATCCCCGTATTCCCAACAAAACCAAATATATAAAATTTTAATCGAATGGGACAAAATTTTCCACGAAAAAACCACGATTCTCTCGACTTTTCTCGACGCGTTGTCGATAAATAATAGTGCAATAGACGGAAAAATAAAGGGCGTGTCGATCGAATCCGCGAGAAAATACTCGAACTCGCTCGTCATATCGGGTTCACCGTGCCTTTGCTCGTAAATTTCCGCGATCAGGAGCAGGAGAAAGAGAGAGAAAGGGAAACAAAGGGATTTGGAGGGAGAGCATCGTACCTCCTCGTCCGTATGCGCGGAAGCGCTCGCGTACGCGCGACAACGGCGGTGTGCGTATGCATTTCTGCACGTACGCGCGTGTGCGCGCGCGCGTTTACATATCGATGAGCCCATATCTCTCTTTCTCTCTCTCTCTCTCTCTCTCTCCGTCGAACTGTGCATATCTGGGTGGGTGCACGCACGCAGCCCCATTGTCCACAGTCGGCGATACACAGTCGGCCGACCTAGGAATTATGACTCGATTAATTCCGCTGTGATTCTCACGCGGTATCTCTAATGCGTGCCCGCGACCCCTAGATTGCTCCAGGATCTGCCAGGACACCGGATATCGCGCGGAAATGGGAGCCAGAATTCGATGAGAATTCGATTAACCTATGGTTTCGCCCATGCTCGAGAAGGGATTGGGGAGGGGGTGGAAACGTTGCTTTTGATATAATAGTTTGGAGAGGAGGTTTGGAGATTCGTTCGGGGGATGTTTATTAGTCACAGTCTCTATTTTGCGAGATGTTTATCCAAATGTGAAGATGTAGGTTGTACGTATGTATATATCTTTGAAATGATTGTAAATGATTTTGAAATATTTAATTGTTTTGCAAGTGTTGGTCAACGGATTCTTATTTTTCTCTGAGGATATAGAAACTCGAGAAACCCTTCTTCTATCAATTTAAAGAACGTGATGCAATTTAGAATGTTTTATCCTGGCAGATCCATTCAAATTTTCAACAATCTCCAATTCAATTGAAAATAATCCACGTTAATAAAAAAAAGTTGCAAAATTACTTTCGATTGAAAGAATTTTAGATGAATTCGTCTGAAAAAAATTGTAATTTTTCTCAAAGAATTTCAATTTCGTTCGCGTTTTCCAAATAGATTTCTGACAGAAATAAAGAAATAACGGCGTTAATTTAATTTAATTTCTTCGCATAATTTCCACCACGAAAAATCAACTCGAGGGCAATACGCATCTCACCCCTTCGAACGTCAATATTTTATAAATTGTACATGCGCCCTTACGAAGCAACGTTTACGACAGAGGTACGTCGCAAACGATTCACGTCCTTTCCAAGCTTGAAATTTTTTTTTCTTTCTCTGTTCACTCACGGAATCGCAACCAACGAATCGATCTACCGTAGCGATCGATCGGTGTACACGTATGGCCACCTGCTGTCCCTGACAGTGTGCATCTCGATTAATCTTCGCTTGATTTTGATGTATTGCGGCCAAAATTATGTATGCAGATGCACGTATATCCCCGGCTCGAATTAATTGGCGACAGGGATCCGGTTACAAAAACACACCGATGTATATACGGTTACGTTCCGTGATGAAAACACGGATTGATCGTTTAATTGAGACGGTTTCGCGATGCATTTTGGACGAAAGCGAGTCCGTTGGTGTAGCGATTGCAATGCCAGGCCACGAGTAGTACCGTAATGGGGAGTAGAGATATCTCGGTCTAATGTCGTACGTGAAAATCGTGTGCCCGTTGTAGCGTCCGAGTATTATCCGAGCCTCATCGAGCCGTGGCATAAAATGGCCGTGTCTAATTTTATGCGAATATAAGTGTTAACGCGGAGAGCAAATATCGCGAGTCGGCAGGCATTCGGAGGTGAAACATCGAATACCAATGGAGCGTGAAAGAATTCACGGTTAGAGGATAAAGGCGTTCTTCGTCGGTGAAAGGAGAGACAGGTGTGGAAAGTGGAGGAGTCGTGTCTCGAATCGCTATCTCTTAGTATTATATTTGGCTTGGC